GGCTAGGCCCCGCTCGGGTCGGGCAAAACCAGAGCCCGCGACCAGTTACCCCGGGCCGGGGCCGGGCCTGGACCCGAAGCAGGCTGGGCCTGAGCGGGTTGGTCCGGATTTTTTTATTTTTTTATTTTTAAAAAATCTCTTTAAATTTTAAAATATACATAAAAATTTACAGAAAATGCTAATAAAAAATAATAATATTATTAATAATTTGAAATGACATAAATTACAAATACAAAAAATATAAAAATAAAAGATGATAAAAATTACTTCTTTATTAATAATTAATAAATCATTTACAAGTATAAATTTATTTCGGAATTTGTCGCATCACAATAGATGAGTATATCTCAACTAGGTTGACACCTACTCACCTATATCATTATCATTTGTAACTGTTTTCAAAATAATTTATTATAAATTTAAAGCTAAGAAATAAAAACTATAATTTGATGAATATTGTTTAATCTTTATATCTATCTGTTAGTCCTAACTCTTCAAATTTAGCTTCAATTCCAGTCATCCGATCGATACCGTGCGTTCGCTTCATGTACCTCCACCAATCTTGTAAGCACATCACCGCTTGTACAGTATACTGATTTAAGCATGTCATGTGATCGTCGATCAAGCGTCCTGCTGTGCTGAAGGCGGATTCCGAAGCTACCGTCGAAACATGCACTATTAGTAAGTCACGAACCATGGTGGAAAGTATAGGATATGAAACTGATCCATATACTCTCTACCATTATAAAATATCTAAAGCATTTCCTTAACATTTAACTAAAGAAGCAGATAAATATTCATCTATTTCAGCATTTCCTTAACATTTAACTAAAGAAGCAGATAAATATTCATCTATTTCAGAAACCTCTAATGATGATCCAAGTCCAGATCCACCAGTTAGCTCAGCTACCATTGCATATCTATCAAAACTTACAATTTTACATCGGTTTGAGCTCGAAGGCGCTGAAGCTGTAGACTGTTGTGCAGCTACACCATGTCTAGCTGCATACTCATCATATAAGGTTTGGAAATAATTTCTAATAGCTAAATAATAAGAAGTAGCAATAAGGGTGGATCCATCATCTAAGTTTATAATCTGTCCACCATACAATGAATGTAACAAACTTCGAAGGCCAATATCCTTCAAGCATGGATCAATAAGAACCCCCAAACTAAAAATATGAGGAATAGGCCTAAAATACTTATTAAATTTGCTCTCCATTTGAAAAATTATAGCTCTAAAAGTATCATTCATACGATATTCGGCAAAAAAAATTTGAATATTTAAATTTTGTAAAGCAGCTAAAGTAATAGTTGGATAATAACAGCTAGATAATAACATTATAGCATCATAAAAAACTTATAA